TTTGGGGCCGACCACGGCATTGCCCTTCTCGCTGGGCCGACTCGACGGCATGCCTCGCTGCCTTTTTCGCGGCAGCAGGGCCACGCTCGAGCCCGCTCCTGACGATGAGGCGCGACTGCTGCTCACTTCGCGCGGCCACGCTGAGACGGGCGTGCGCACGAGCAACTCCTGGATCTGGCTCCGGAAAGGCGAGTCGGCAATCATTGCGAGTGGGTCGGAGATCGCACTTACCTGCGGCGTGCCTCCCAGCCGTTCAGTTCAAAAGCCCGAGGAGCCGCTGGAAAACGTAGTGCTCAAACTCGTTGCGTTACAGTCTCCTCAGGCAGCCATGCCGCCACCAGCCCGCTCGCCGGCCACCGGCAACGCAGCCTCGCGCACGGAACCACGGTACAATGCGTGGGGTTCTCCAATCCGCTCGGACGATGACGACGAGGAGGAGAAGGATTCGCCGCCAGCGAAGCCCCCGCCGCCCGAGTGTCCGTGCGGCGCCGGAAGTTTCGTGGAGAAGCTCTCCCGGAGTGAGAAAAACTACAATCGCCGCTACTACGAGTGCCCTCGCCGCTACATCGCTGCCGGTTGTCCCAAGAAGCACGACTTTGAGTGGGCCGATCTCTGGGTCGACCACGACACTGCAGAACGGCGGAAGCGGTCGAGATCGGTGTCTCAGAGCAGCAACGGCCGGCGGGATCAGTGCCACCGCTGTCTGCGCTTTGGCCACTGGGCGAGAGACTGCCGCATGCGCTTTTGACGCGCTTCACAAAGGCGTCGGGTCGAGGGAGACGCCACATGAAAGGCACACGGCCAGAAGGCAGTGCGCGGTTGTGCGGAGTGCTCCCCTGGGTGAATGGGCGCACGAGTGAATGGGCGCACGAGCCGCGGGGGGAGGAGCGGGCGAGGATACGGACTCCAAGCTCGAATCACCCGCGCTGCATGCACAAGAGGATCAAGGGAAGACCGCCGGGGAATATGGTCTTCCAGTTTCGGGTGCTGGCCTGCGTGTCTCGTGCGTGTCATATCGGCCGGGGGCCTCGGTGTGCTCACCGCCGGCTTCGCTCCCTTTGGCGGCACCGAGGAGGGTGCACTCACTCCTCAACATACGGCCCTGCGCGGTTAATAAATGAAAACGGTCAAACTCTCAGACGAGATTGGATACTTCTCGTGCGTGTAGAGGGATCGCGTCACAACACGACACAGATGAGTAGAGTCAAGAGTGGTAAGTGTTGTACGGCATGGGGCGCGGCTACTGGCAGTACAGAGTACTGCGAGCACCGGAGCAGGCGCACATCGCTTACCCTTTTACACCTCATTCCGCGGCATTTTTTCGAGGAAAATGTAAATGATCCTTGTCTACTTGGAGCTACATGAGGATTGAGGTCATGTCTCATGGCACATATATAGGAGACCCTGGTGGCTGGTGCTGGTCGATTCTCCAAGATATTGAACTTAGTTTGGGTTTTGTATATAGCCGATTTGCGATTTCCCCATTCGATTTGGTTTTGCTCGCTCCCCGTAATGCGTAAAGCCGTAGTGCCGAGGGCCGAGAGAGCGAGA